CAGTGGCAGACACTTAACATGCCTTGGTTTTCATGTACTGCACACAGGGTTACAGTGGCAGACACTTAACATGCCTTGGTTTTCATGTACTACACACAGGGTTACAGTGGCAGACACGACGGGGGTTAGTGGTGGTGGGGGGGGGGTGTACATGTGGGGAGGTGGGGTGGGGGGCATTATCAAATGTGGAGAAAAGACTGTTAACACCTGAATAAGTAATGAAATAAGTCTCATAATTGAACCGTATTATCCAAACAATTTTTTTGAATGGGAAGAGGTCAGAAATTGTAAATATCCCACATTGTTCCTTGAATATTACTTATCACTCGTAATGGAAAAAATGAAACTGAAAAAAATTAAAACGGGTGTTAGAGTAGTCGAAAAGTTAAATGCCTACAAAACATAAGAAGTGATAGATTTTTCTAATCGAAAAAAGTTGAGTTTGTCACTGATGACAACAGAAGGGAGACAGTTTCCAGTTCTCAAATGGAAGCTCTTGGTTTATGTTACCTTTTTTCATCGTACGTTAAATGCTTGTGCTGTGAATAAATACTGGTATGTAAACCTTAAATGTAAGTATCGCTGTTGGAGCAACATAGCACCATTACAGCTGACTGAGAAGGCATATTGCTACAGGTGAGATGACACAACACATTCATCACCACCTCTTTTCCTACTTTCAGAGGCCATTTGCAATCGTCACAATGGAAACTTTGAGGAACCCACCAACTGCGGGGAATTCGTCTCTTGTGCATACAACCGCGTCTTCCGCCACCGTCGATGCCCCGCCAGCCTCAATTTCAATCTGGAACACAACAGTTGTGATTGGCCATTTAGAGTCACGTGCGGGGACCGTCCCACAAAAGAACCAAAAGATGCACTGGTCAAAGACAAAGATTAATTCTTTTGCAAATTTGAAGGTCAGCCAGTTCGAACGTTGTTAAAGTTGTTCAAAGAACGGTTACTGTCTGCAAGCAGGGTATTTTTTTAGACAAATGAATTTTAGTAGGCATGGCGCCTAAAGCTTATGATCGGCTATTTTCTATAAAAACGAATTTACAGCAAAATAATCACACAACAGATCGGTAAATCAAATAAAAATGATGGTAAAACTGAATTACAATATTGAAACTGGGTAGATGGCCGGTGGATTCGTGTGCATGAATACCAGTTATTATTAAAAAAATATAAAGTTCACTAAAAGATCGTGAGGTCACGAAAATTTGACACATTCAGTGTGGTTAACGGTCTTGAATATTTCTTATTTTTTCATATTTTTATCAAAATCTATTTTAATAGATTATATGATATGTTAAAA